CCCCTACATCATAGCCCTGGCGAAAGAAAGAAGCAAAGAGAGGATGACGTCTACGAATAACTTGGCAACTGCACAAGGCTGGCATCCCCGGAGGCGGCTCCAAAGAAGAGGACTACGGCGAGCAACGGCCTCGGCCGATGCCTTCATGTGCAGCTTATGGATGCCTATGCTGGACGGATCTAGATAACATACTCGCTTTATTGCATCATTTTTACATCTTCAGTTGAAAGCGCGCATGCATTCCTTTCTTAGCATTGCCTTATCCTAACGCTTGGAGAAAATCAGATAAATTGCACCCTGGCTTCCTTCGTTTCCTGTTGTACACTGGAAGGTTAAACAGGCGGTTGGCTTCCTAGTCTGATGTGCCCTGTATTTAATAATTGAGTTCGGCTCTTTTCAAGGACGAAACAAGAGCCGAAATAAGCACTAGACCACGACCCACACCAGACCCTGAAAGCTTGGTGTTTTAGTTCAACCCTTAGCACCAGTCCCAAAAAGATCTAATTTAGTTAAACAAAGCGTCACTTCCTACGGATTCAGCAGGCGGGTGATTCTTTTGCTGGAAGTTTTTTGCCTCATAACCATGGCACTATTCGAAGTCAGTACTGCAAGCGAAAGCTTCGAATCCATGGGCTCGTGCATTGCTCTGGGCATCTCATGTGTTGCGTTGAGCTTTCCACGAAGAATTCAGAATGGCGGTCACGATCTGCTGCACTGTCGCCGTCCCGATCTGCATCACCGTGGGCGTGTTCGTGTTATTCGTTCGTACCTGCACGTGTGCTTTGTGTATGCCCCTTTGTGTATGCATTTGCCTGTTTGTGTGTTTGAGTGTTTTGTTTCAGTTTGGTGTCTGCGTTTCTTAGTTTGCTTACTCGTTTGTTTGTTTTTTTTGCTTGTCTTCCTGCTTGTGGAGGCTCCGTTGGTTTGTGGATCCTCTGTTCCTACTCGTAAGGTCCTATGAAGTGTGTTGGTGTAGCTACAGGTGCGTGGGTCCGACCGGGGTCACGTGCTTCGCAGCGCCTGCCCAACGAACACGCTGCTACTTGTAGTGATCTTGACGCAACACAGAGCACCTGCAACTTCGGCACTTCGAACGAGTAAGTGATGCACGGGCATGCAGGTAGTTGTTCTGACCATTATGTGTGACTGAGAAATGAGCTTGTGTGTATTGCCATCAACATTCTAAATACACTCCGGGAGGAGAGAGGGAGAGGTAAACACGTTGAATATTTTTTTGATCACAATCACTCTGCCAAGTGCCGTCGGACTCACGGCCAACGTGACATAACCTTAACACACAGTGTTGGTGCTGCTGCCGGTGGTGGTGGCCGTCGTCGTGGTGGAGCTGCTTGAGATGCTGTGCATTCCCGAAACAGGTGGTCAAACCGGCCTAGTATCCAAACCATGCAGTCAAGCTTCAAGCACGGACCCGCCTGCGCCGTCTGCGCCAGGTCCGAAGCCGAAGTCCGAGCCGCTGTAGAGGCATCTTTGGAAGCGGCGCGGAACAGCCAGGACCGGCAAAGGGCTGGACTGTGTTGCTCCCAGCACCTGGACATTGTCTTGAAGGGATGAAGGAAGAGGCTTCGCAAGCAAGAGTAAGGGTCGGGCCCAATAAAAGGCTACTGGACATGCGTGTGCTTCTGCAAAATCGCCTCATTCACGGAAGGGTTTGACAAGGCCTCCGACGTGAATGCACCTTGAGGAAGTAATGCTTCCTTCCGGCTGGGAGCTGCAAACCACGTCTGCCACTGAGTTCCACCATTTTGCCAAGATGTCGATGCAACCAGCACCGTCACCACTTCAGCACTGGACTTCTGCTCAGGCCTGATGGTCGCGAGTTCTACGTCAACCTTCGATCCAACATCACACAGTGGGAGGCGGGTTCCCCGCCGTCAAATTTGGACACAAGCTTCACCCAAGCTCAATGTGACGGAATGGACCAGGTGCCCAAGCTGCCACCACATTGGGAAGAGCGCTTCTCGAGGGAGGGCAAGGCCTTTTGTAGAGGGTGCTGCTCACCACGAAGAAAAGGTTAAGGGAGGTTTGCAGGTCTGCAGGTGCTCTCAAAGGATGCGCAGCGCTGTAGCAATGTGCGGCAATGAACCATCAATGTCGGACCCGCATGGCCAAGATGGGCCAACATCGGCTGCGAACGAAGCGGCACGTGTTCGTTGCATAATGCACGAACGTGCGTTGGCAGTTCGAGGCATCCCGACAATTCCGAAACGCTTCGTTGGAACTTTGACAGTATTCGTCATATCTAATCTTGCGAGGTCTACTACCTCAGCCTCTTCGATGGCCGGACACAGTGGGAATGGACCACAACTGAGTTTGTGCCACCATGCCCGGCTGCAGTTTGTGGAACTACAGTTTTGGGTCTTGCAGAAACATTGCCTGGGACAGGCTTCAATTGTCCATCGTTGCATGATCTGCCTCTAACGTTTAGTTAGTCCCTCCTGTATCCTCCTGATATCTCCTGATCAGCCGGTCCCATGCCCGACAGATCCAGGCGGCTCATGACCTCTTGGCATGTTCGGAGGTGCTACAGTTTTGCGCATCGCCCGCGCAGCGACAGCGGGTTGGCCGCAGGGTAAAGCGATCTACTGCCGGCCTTTTGCTGGTTCTGTGTTCGGGTTTGTAGTTGTAGCGCACGTGAACACCGCAGCACCATTAGCTTACACTCGCACATGGGGGGCCCCCCAACTCCGAAAGCACCTGGGAAAGACGCAGCCCGCGAGGTGGGCGCATGCTCCTAGGGCCTATAGGGTCGAAGCAGAGACACGAAAAGGACTTCCAAGGCAACGCCGCTTTCCAGCCAATCGGCTGCTTCACCTGGCGCCTGCAATTTTCTGTGAACCCATGTGAGCGCGAGCTTTCCGAGGCCCACAGAGAATGCTGCGGCTTTCCACCAGCGTTTGGAGGCAGAGTCTAGTCTCCTCTCGCCTAAGAAATCGTGTCATGCTTTATTTTCAGGAGTCATGTGCTGGCAAAGCAATTAGAATCTCGCTTACCCTTGCAACCGCGACTCCACAGGGCGAGTCCTGAGCGCGGGACAACGCGGTAGGCAAAGGTTTGGGAAAAACATGCTGCCGCAGGAGCTTCCCGCACCTTCTCCTTCTGGCCGGATGCTGGCGCTTCCGGGCTCGACGCAGGTGCCAGGGAGCATTTCGTAGTGAGTATCCTCTCACAGCTCAACTGCTGCCGATGTTGTAGCTGTGTTTTTTCTTGCAGCCCAGCCTTCTGCGTTGGGTTCTGACATCTAATTAACCGTGACAGGACTGGGACTGAGAGTCTGTTATCTAAGACATGGAGCTACGGTGTGTGCACGATGCAATTTGTCTCTGATCTCTGTGCCAAAGGGCTCCGACTCAAGGCTTCCAGCTCTGCAATGCTCTGCAACTCAGATACTCGGCTCGATGCTGTTTTGCACCAACAGGAGGAGTTTCGCCATGAGGAGGACGAGTTCAGCCAGTCGTCGGAAGAGTCTTCCTTGGGATTGGCGCTTGATGAGGCATTCCAGCAATTTTCACTTGTGGTCGTAGAAACCGAAAGAGGAGATCCAATCTTCGCAGTCGTTAAGGATCCACCAAGCCTTAACTTGTGTCACCAACGGCAATGAAAACGCGGGCAAGCCGACACGGTGTGGAGCATGCCATCGGAAGCTTCAGGGTCAGGCTAATTTGGCAGTGCAGCCTTAGATGCTGCTCCTGTAGAGGCATGATTCGCAACCGGGCAGCAGTCGGCCACAAAAACTACGAAAAGCCGACTTGACAACTATCAACTACATTGGCGAACAGGTGGATGCCAACGACCTTCTTGCTGTGCCCCCGGGCGCTGAGAATGCCGAGAATCCCCAGGACTACTTTCAGCAAAAGCAGGGCTGCATCGATTTAGACGAAGTCAACATCAACTCCCTTGTCACGCGCCATGCTGTGACTCGCTGACTCACCCAAGCAAATCTTGATGACTGGACTGGGGTTCATGCAGAGCAAGCGATGCATCGGAACGTCTGTACACCTGCAGGACGAAGCTGCAGAAGGCTCGGAGCCGCAGAAGTGCGGGCCCTGCAAAAGCGAACAATGCAGCGCTTCGGGATGTCGTTCAGAGCATGAGGATGTCGAAGCAGTCGGACCCATTTACTTTCGCGCTTCGCGCTCCATTCCAACCTTCATCCTGCATGAAATCTTGACTTCACCGAGGTGGGGCGCGGACAAGCGAGATGCAGAGTGGATAAGCCTCAAGAGGCACTTCTGCTACTGCTCACGGCACGGCTTTGCTGTTGGATTTTGCCTTGGTCATTTAGGCTTTCAGATTTGTTGATTTCTGCTTCCATGGGCTATTATCGGAATTTCGGCGCTTGCTTTCCTGATGAATGTTTCTTGATAGCTAGATTCGTTCGCCTGCATTTCTTCGATTTCCTTGATTAACTTGTGGGTTCACTTCTTTTGACGCGACTTTCGTTCGCGTTTCCCATCTGTACTTGGTCGTTTCCAGATCTGGAGTCGATCCCTTCCGATGCCGTGTCGGTCATTTCCGGATTAGTCCTTGTTGAGTTTCGGCATATTGTCGGATTCGCATTGAAGTATCGGTCAAATTACGGGTTCATATCCGGATCGCGTGTCGGTCATTCGCGGGCTCAGAGTTCAGTTGTTCACTTCAGGATTTCGTGTCGCTTGTTGACGGATTCATCTTGGTTCATTCTCGTGATATCGGCTTCGTCCCGGACTCATAATTGTTCGTGTCCGAATGTCGTGCCAGCGTTTTTAGGGGTGTTCGCATGGTCTGATCCGCAGCGATGTGTGTCGAGATGCCTCGCACGGGCCAGCGTACTTTTCGACTCTCGTTCCCATGTGGGGAGCTGGTTACTTGCAGAAGGCATTGAGCACTGCAAGGAGTTTCGTGATTCCATCGTCTCTGCTTTTTGTTTCCCGAGAATTCTGAAACAGCGGGAATGCGGCACCTTGAAAAGTTGGGTGTCTCCGACCCCTACCGGCATTTTTGATCTACTTGCCCTGTCATTCCGCGTAAGCGGATGCAGAGTGGTTTAAGCCCAGCGTACTCGTATGCTGGAAGGGTGAAAAGGAAGGCCGTCAAGCGTGCTGCACTGCCCTCAGATTTCGGAGCCTCAGACATCATGAATCATGTGCTCTTTCTGTTCATGTCCGTCATCTAGGTTTCATTTCCGGATTCATTTATCATGTTCATTTAGGATTTTGTGTTCGGTCGTTTTGAAGTTCGTAGTTGTTCTTGTGCGTCGTTGCCAGCTTCATCCGTTTTCGTGTCCGTCCTTCCGACCCCGACCACACAATTTTTGAGCAGTTATCAGCACTTCCGCCTTCAACTTCCGTGGCTCGAAAAATTCAGAATTGTCTGTGGTGGCTGCACGCCATGTTATCCTTTGTCAGAGACCGAATCCACTTGTATTGCTGTCACCCGTGAGGCAGATGGCAAGCCAGAAGAAGGCGCACGACGAACGCCGCATTCTCAGGTTGCTTCCTACCACAGCACAGCTAGACCACTGAAATCAGTTAAAAGTTGGTCGTGCTTGCTTTCCCGCAGTGTCATATACTTGAGGCAGGAGTGTGGCTCAGGGTTGTTATCGCCGGGCAAAGCCTGAGGCTGGATGACTGCTAGACATTTTCCTGGCGTCCGAGAATTCGCACTCACCTCAGTTCGGGAGCATCAAGAATCTTTCTTTGTTTGCCTGTCACACCACAGCCTGTTACCCTTCGAGCGTTCAGGTGATTCCAGTGATCTAGTGCTCTGATTGAGGTGCGAAGATACGAGCTCGCCAACCAAGTCAACAACTGGGACAGGCTCACAAGAATGAGAGCTTGGCAGTTGCAAGGGAGTTGGGCATACTTGCACGGACATGATCAGCTAGGGCTCACCAGGGGTGTGTTCGCATCCAGGTGCGCTTGGCAACTCCTGGACTCGGCACATGCAATCCCGTGTGAGTGCAGTGGGCCACTGCCAGGGCGGTCGACAATGTCACGTTAAAGATCGACAACATGGCACGGCAGAGAGGGCAGCCGGCACCCAAGCCATGTCAGGCGACTGAGACGCCGAGATCCGTGATGGTTACACCACGCAGTTTTTCGTGTGCCACATCCAATCAGCACGAGCGTTGCAAAGCGGTCCGAGCAGCAACACAGAGTCTTGATATCCAGGTTGGGAGTTGTTGCTGAGCTGCGGAAGGAGGACAATCAATGGCGGCTATATTGTTGGCCTGCAACTGGTTTCCGATCAAAGCAAGTGACCAGTGATGGCTTTGGTAGCTTTCTACTTTTAGGAGCTCCGCCAGATATTCCCTATCATCCAGCGGCTGCAGTGGACCAAGTGGTCCAGCACGCCACTCAGCAACGCCTGGCCGTCGCGCAAATCCCGAATACAAGTGTCGGACCTAGACAGGCACGTGGTTCTGCAGAGTGAAATCATGAACCCCTTACGAGCCCACCCAAAATCTGCCGGTGGCTGTTTCTGTCGAAACCCTTAAATGCCCTTACATGTGTACTAAATGCTGCTATGTGTCCAGATTTGTTCTGATGAATACAATCGATTACGGAGACTTGACCAGGCACTATGCCTTCGATCACGATACTCGTAGCTTCCTAAACAAAGGATCCTTATCTACTGAGTACTACCATGTACTACCACTACTACCACTACTACTACTACTACTACTACTACTACTACTACTCCCACTGCTACTACTGCTACTACTACTACTACTACTACTACTACAACTACTACTGCTACTACTACTACTACTACTACTACCACTACCACGACCACTACTCACTACTACCACTACCACTACCACTACCACTGCCACTGCCACTACCACCACTACTACTACTACTACTACTACTACTACGACGACTACGACGCCTCCTCCTCCTCCTCCTCCTACTGCTACTGCTACTACTACTACTACTACTACTACTACTACTACTAGTACTAGTACTACTACTACTACTACTACTACTACTACTACTGCTATTCGCGCGGTCCCAGCAAATGACAAATAACAGCAAATAAGCAGCAAATAGGTGGGTGGGCTCGTTTTGGGTGGGCTCTTAAGGGGTTCATGATGAATCGGGATCTTAAGTCACTGTACTTACGACACGCAGTCGCCAGGGTCTGTGACGCATCTCCGTAATGCTTTCAGAGCCGAGGCTTCGAAATTCTTTGCCACTGCATCATGCGGGAGTACCCTGTGCAGGCCGACGGTGTTGCACAAGTGTATCGAATCTGTCGTACAGACCTGCACTTCATTGAGGCATGATGACCTTTTGATACGTCTTGTGTAGCATGTTGAGCAGCGCGGCCAGAATGCGCTGGCGAACGTGGCGAGACCGACGAAGTTTCATCGGACCTTGCTGCCCACGGCTTACCCTGGCCCGCGCAGCGGTTTAGGGTAAGTAGCTAGTATCTTATGAGTATTCGTATTCGCATCAGAGGTTGATGAGTAATTATACGCATTGGTATTAGTATTGGTGTTTGTATTTGTATTAGCGATCCAGAAATTAGTATTAGTACTCCTGTTAGTATTAGTATCAGTAGCAGTATCAGAATTAGCATCAATATTAGTATTACTGTTGTTTTTAGTTGTAGTATTTGCATTTTTGCAGTATTATGATTATTATTTGCAGTAGTAGCATATCTATTTTTATTGTTATTTTTCCCCGGGCCGAAAGGTTTGAGCTATCGGGCCTTATCATGTTACACACTCTTGCCAGTTCCCTTCGCCGGCTGGCGGAGAAATTGTTACTCCGTTTTCAAAGTTATATTGCTAATTCATTGCGGAGGATGCCCCAAGACTCGCTTGTGTCAGGAGTCTAGGGGGAAGATGGTGGGGGCATAGGTCGACTTCGCTGTTGAAGCTAGTGGTCGGATCATCGGCCCGCCGCAGCCTGCATTTTCGAGGGCAGCGTCCCGTCCTTTTCAGTTCTGGTGATACACATGCGAGGATCGTGCCATGTGACCCTTCTTGGCAATGACTTCCTTGCACGTCTTTTCAAGCCCCCTGGACAGACATCCCCGACTAACAAACGATTCGGAAGGCACCCTTACTTCATGTTACAGACACTTGCGGAATAGCGTTATTACGCCGTTCCAAAATATACTACTAATTCAAAGCGGAGGAGGTCGCAAGGCTGCCGCAAGGCTCACATGTGTCAGGAGTCTGAAGGGAAGATGGGGGCGCATGGGTCAACTTCGTTGTTGAAGCTATTGGGTCGAACTATCGGCCCGGCGCAGTATGAGTATCAGTATTGGTATTAATATCCAGAATCATTGCGGAGAGGTGCCGCCTTGCCGGAGGTTGGGGTGTCAGGGGATGGTAATCTTGGTTATCTTGGTAATTTAGTTGCTTGTGTGGTGCAAGCAGAGCAGGCAAGTGGGAAGTGAGGTAAAAGCCGGCGTGAAAATTCAATAACCAAGATTGCTAAGACTGCTTGGTTGTGTTGCCCCCTCCCCCCAAGATTACAAGATGACCGGTCATCTCGCTCCCCCCCAAGTGGGCCAACATGACCAAGACGTCCGGTCATCTTGGACAGCTTAGTGGTTCCATTTCCCGGCACACTGTAGTAGCAGCCGTAGCAGCAGCAGCAGCAGCAGCAGCAGTAGCAGCAGCAGTAGCAGTAGCAGTAGCAGTAGCAGTAGCAGTGGCAGTGGCAGTAGCAGTAGTAGTAGTAGTAGTAGTAGTAGTAGTAGTAGTAGCAGTAGTAGTAGTAGTGGTGGTAGTCGTAGCAGTAGCAGTAGCAGTAGCAAGTAGCAGTTGGAGTTAGGAGTAGTAGTAGTTGTAG